AACATAACAATAAAATAAAGGGTGGTTGGGACCTAATTCCCAACCCTAGCATAGTTACACTCACAATACTCCAATCTATCATTGAATTATTATTCCTTTTTACTTATCTTTGGTGGATCCTCCTTTAGTTCCTTCAGACACTTCCTCAATTCCTTGCTCTATCAATTTATACACAACATAGGGAAGTTATTAGAATCAATACAATAGTAATTCAAGCTCACTTAAACTATTTGACACTAAACATATGATGTTCCGATAGATTGTACACCTTGTAGTAAAATGATCATAACTTTTAATTTACTCATCAGATTTTCAATTTCATTATACCCTTAGAAATCTAATTAAATTGTCTTTTCAACCATGTATATATTGTATTTTAATTTCTTATACACAATTATAGTTTTGAATTTGAAGTTAGACGATGTTCCAGTGACCAATCTGTCACTCTTGTAATTCAATGCACTTTGGTGAACTAATTCACCTAGAATCTTTATCAATTTGTTTTAGCTCTTCTTACCATTGTTTAAGTTTTCTTTCCTCTGTATTTTCATATCAACTTTACCTTTAATATTAGGTATGGGCATGGACCCGAACTCGACCCGATCCGATCGGGTCAGTTTTTTTAAAAACATTTCAGGTTCAGGTTGGGTTGAGTTTTTAAAGGTGATGTTCGTGTCGGGTTGGATTCAGGTTAAGGTGAAAAAAACCTGACCCAAGCCCCCAATTTTTTTTAACATTATATATTTAAGAATAATTACAATAATACCCTTTATATATTATTATTTTTAATTAAATTGTTGTTTTTATTGAATACAAATATTTTTTTATTATTTCAGGTCAGGTCGGATCGGGTTCAGATTTTATCTCAAAAAATCAGGTCAGATTCGAGTCGGTGGAGGGTATATATTTTTCGGGTCGGGTGAAGGATGTAAAATTTTTGGGTTAGGTCGGGTTGGCAGAAACTCGACCCATGCCCATCCCTATTTAATATTCCAATTAAGTCTTCAAATTAACACATTTTTCGGAACAATCCAATTTTACTAATGTATCACTCACAATCTACCAATTCCTCTCTAAATTAAGCCTTACAATTTATTTTACATTCTTTTTAGTTCCTACCCTATTTTTAGCTAGCATTTTCAATCTTTAATTTTGTCCAATTTGATCCCTAATTTACTTAACTTGTTCAAAACAATTCTTAATCGATCTATAACAACAATTGTGACTAGTTTCAATCTAAGACCAAATTCTTAAAATTTTACAGCATTTGCTCTTGTTTAAAACTTAAATCTTCAGTAAATTTCAATTTTCATAAACTTTATCCTACATATATTTTTGCAATTTAATCCCCATCTTTAAGATTTTTTACAATTTATTTAGTTGCACAATTATGATTCTCTCGATTATTACTTTTGAATTAATAACCCATAGTTTGTTCATTTTCATCAAATCCTTAGTCATTCAAACTTAACCCAACATGATTAGTATGCATTTCTAACAACATGCAAACTAATAATCATGAATTGATCCAACAATTAACACTAATCAAATTTTTGAGAATTTATTCAATTAAATTATTAGTAATTTAAATAGAAGAAGATGATAAGAAGCTTACATTGATGCTAGATGATTTCTTTCTTTCTTTTTTCTAGTTAATTTAAGCTTGATTCCAATCTTCCATGATTGATTTCCTCATCTTACTCTCTAGAGATTTTTCTCTCAAGTTTCTCTCTCATTTTCGACAATGGAGGTGAATGAAGGAAGATGATATCAACTCTAATTGTTAGTGAGCATGGAAATGTCCATTTTAGCCATCACTTAAATTTTAATTCAATTAATCATCAAAGGGTAATGTAGGAATAATGATATTTAGCATGCAAACTTAATGTTTGTTATTTATTTTAATTAGGTCACTTTAATTTGATCACCATTCTTCCTAATCTTTAGATCAGGCCTTTATTTAATTTAATTGATTTAATTCTTAATTAAATTTTATCTTAGGCAATTTAGTGTATTTTTTCTAGACTAGGAATTTATGATGTTACATACAATACATGTGTATTTCTTCATATGTGATATACATTTATGATACAAAGTCAAGAGACTCAACTCAAACTTGAAAATCAATCCACTAATTACTAAAATTTTTGAGTTATTCGAGTTGTATTTTACAACTCGGTTTGAACTTGAAATTTTTTCGAGTCGAGACGGGTTTATGAAAGTTAATCCTTCAAACGAACGGTGACATGTGGCATTAGGGGTGAGCGAAATTCGACACGACTTGACTTGAAGAATCGATTTTTTCGACTCGACTCTTGAAAACTTGACTTGAATAAACTTCGAGTTGTAATTTCATAAACCCGACTCGTCTAAAAAACATTTCAAGTTTAAAATGAGTTGTAAAATACAACTTGAATAACTCAAAAATTTTAGTAATTAATGGATTGATTTTCAAGTTTGAGTTGAGTCTCTCGACTTTGTACCATAAATATTTATCACAAATGAAAAAATATGAAGATATACACATGTATTGTATATGGTTATAAAAGATCATTTAAATTGGAATCATATAATATCATAATATTATAAATATTTATAATTAAATTTAGATAGAAGCTCGAAAATTTAACTCGACTCGACTCGAAAAAATTCTAAGTCAACTTCGAGTTGTAAAATAGGATTAAATTTATTTTAATTTATTAAAAGTAGGATAAATTGAGAAAATATGTAAATAACAGGGACCAAATGTATGATTATATCAAAATATTTAACTACCATTAATGGAAGTTAACTCGATGTGACAACATCTTAATTAATAAAAACGAAAGTGATCATATCTTATGTTTTTTGAAATCAGTGACCAAAAGCAGACAAAACATAAACATAAGTGATTTTTCATGTAGTTAACCCTTTATTTTTTATATAAAAAAATTAAGTAAGTTGTGGCTCCTCAATTCAAGTCAGGGATAACTAAGATTCAATTAGAAATTACATAAGAATTTATATATTATCTACTAAAAGTGACGGTGGTAGAATTCGAGCTTGACCTTACAAACTTAAATTTCTTAATTTTAACCATTTGTATTAACACTCATTAGTTTCTATCTCATAATTTATGTTTTATGTTAATTATACATGTAATTTTATCTCATAATATATGTTTTATATTGACCATACCTATAATTTTAATAGATATATTTAATTAAGATAAATAATAAAATTATTAATTAAAAAATTATTGATGCATTTAACTTATTCATTTGATATATGAAAGAGTGAGACATATAAACATAAGAAAAAAATATAAGTATGATTGTTTGTTAACTTTTTTTTATTAGAATATAGATATTTACAAACTAAAAAAATACATCTAATGAGATGAATAGAGTATTTTTTTATTGTCAAAATTATTTATTTTTATTTTTAAAAATAATCAAGACCATAAATATTATAATTCATATTACGTAATCGTTATTTAATTAATCATATTATATTTAACTTGATAATTTAATAATTTTTCTTTTATTTTGTATAATTAAACACTAAAATTATATGTCTTAACTAAAAATAGTAATATCATTAAGAAAATCGTTAATCGATTAATGTATTTTTGAAATTTGAACACCAAGTTCTCAAATTCCATATCAGTTGATTATTAGAAGTTTTAATAATATTAGTGATTTAGATTAAGATAATAAAATTTTAAAAAAAATTAAATTATTATTATAGGCTGACAGATTTTATAAATGCAAACACAATTAAAAATAAATATTATATATACAATGGCTTAGCAAATAAAATAAATTAATCCGTGCATATCAAATGTATGTTTTTTTCCTTTAATGAAGTAGGGATTTTATTATTCTTTTATTAATATTATTTTTAAATTTAGGGTTATATTAATAATTTTGATGTTATACTTATTTGAATTTTACTGTTATTAAACAAAAGTTTTTTTATTTGAAAAAAAGAATTTTATTAAGAAAAATTAAATAAAAAAGAGAGCTGTTAAAGGTTGCATTATTAAAGGTAGAAAATCTTGATCTAAAAAGAATGATTACTTTTGGTAATTAACCTAACGAAGGCTGGTTCATCTAAAGCCCTCCCCCACGTAGTTTAGCTTTAACTTTTAAGCATGAAAAATTAGGTTCAAATGGGACCCTACCAACGGACATAAGAATTCAATTCTTGAAGATTCACCACCTTTCAATTCAAAACACAAATTTATCCTTCTTTTTCCACAATTATTGTTCTTCTTAAAGTTTTTTTCCTCTTTTCTAATCAATTTTTTCTTGCTGGAAAATTCACCACCTTGACAAGATTTTTTTTACGTTCATGTGTTTGAGATCTAACAGCTTAACAACAAGAATGATGTCTTGAAAGAGGTAACCTTTCATTGAAAAAATGTCTTGTTTTGCTTTATTTAAAAATTAACTATTACACCATTGCTGTGAAGTTAGGCTAGCTGCTGGATCATTTTCTGGGTTGGCGGATGTTGAGTTTAGTCTTTCTTCTTCTTCTTCTTATTTTATTGCTTCTTGTTAAAGCATTTTCTGCATACATATAAGACGTACGCTGAAAATATAAGCAGAAGATTCTCTAGTATTGGTGTTGTTTTATTAGATCTAAGCTTTAAAAAAGTTGGGTGTTTTTCAGTAGAGCTTGCAACTGATAATAACCCTGAGTTTCGTTGGCTCTGAGAAATTAGGGTTCATATTCCACAGGTTGACGTGAAGCTTATGATTGTCATTTACTTGTACTTTTAGCAGTCTAGGCGTTAGCTGATTTCTCTTTAGAAAAGAAAACCACTGTAACTTTATTTCACCACTGTGCTTTCTCTCTCTCTCTCTCTCTCTTTCCTTTCAGTCTGATCTCTGCGTTTGCTTTGTTTTTTTCTTCTGTTTTATATTCATTGTTTTTTGTTTTGTCTTATATTTATACCCTTCTGATCGTTGAACTTCGTTTCACTTCTTTAAATCTAGCCTTGCATGCGTTTGGTTATGGATACGAGCAAGTTCAAACCCGAACCGCATATAGCACAACAAAGCCGAATTGATAAGTTGAGGGTTCACCATTTTGAGTATTTCCCCAACAGTTTGGAGCAAGGTTCCTCGGTCCATTCGGGGCCGAACCCAGATCTTATTCAAGTTCGTAACGATAGAAACGCTAATTGGCTTTACGACCCAAGTGTTGTTTCTTCAGGTATCATCCATGCTCGTCCATGTTCTAAAGTCTCTGGTGACCTACGAAGTTGTGGCGATTTGATGGTGGGTTATGCAAGTGGATTAGCCGGTAGAGAAAACGATCAAAACCCTATGTTTGGTGGGGAAGTGTTGCCAAATAGTGCAAGGGAAAGCAACATATGTGCAGCTATGCAGTATCCCGTGACTGAAATTTGCAGCCATGATAGCAAAAGGCATTGTGGGGAATTGCAGTTCGTTTCATCTTCACTTTATGACGTTGTTAATACACCGTCTGTGGGTACTCAGGGACCACAAATGGCTTCTATAGCACATCAAGCGAGTGCTTTGCATTTTGATAACGCTGGTGCTTGGACGAATAGGTCCCTCTTAGAGCATTGTCCACAGTGGGGTGATGCTACTTATACTACCCAAGGGCTATCTCTAACTCTTTCATCGACCCCGAATCAAAAATTCGTGGTTCGGCTCAATTCACAGAGGATCAGTGTGGTTTTCATGCCTTTAATTCGTTTCCGAAGCCGTCTATAATCAGTAAAGGTAGTGGAAATTTGACTTGCGTACAACCTCTCGGCCCATTCACCGGATATGCAACTATTCTTAAGAATTCAAGGTTTCTTAAGCCAGCACAAGAACTGTTGGATCAATACTGCCATATGACCAATTCAAAGCTCGGTAAAGTTTGTGTGACATCGGAGGGTGTCTCCGATGGCGTTGGGGATTCAGCCTCGGTTGATGCTGCCGATGCAATTGATATTGCTGATGGAGCTATTAAGGGAAATATATCGCTGGCTTCTGTCTCCAGTCTTTGCAGCTCAAATGAAATTAGTACTGCTGATGTTAGCATTGGGAGCGGCTCTTGTAGGCCTGACTATCAACAGAAGAAGGCAAAGCTTTTATATCTGCAGGAGGAGGTTGGTTATCAATTTTCTTTTCGCATTTATATGTTGTCTTTCATTCAATTATCATCTGCATCTTTATTAATGAACATTTATGAAGGGAACTATCACACTTGTTTATTAATGAAATTAGGGCCTTGCATATTTGTATTTATGTATCGATTGTAATGCATGTATATATGCCACTGAAGAATTACATCCTGTGTGCTTTTCATCTGTAAATGTTTTCGTTGTTACGGATCGGCCACACATTCAAAGCTACTTTATTTTAAAGTTTCAACCCCAATATGTTGTCCTCTTGCCTTGGCCGAAGGCCCCATTGTATGTTGAAATAATTGACTATGCATATCTGCATTGCTGTTGGTGTTCCTATTCCTAATTTGGCCAGTGAAATTGCTGTTCTTCCATTATTTATTTTGAACCTAATCCAAATAGAGTCATTATTCGTCGAAACAATTGATTGTGTTATTTGTTTTATCATTTTACTGTTAAGTAATGCTAGCTCAAGGATTAACTCTAATGAGGACTTGCATATGTTGTGCCATTGAAAGGTTTGCAGACGATACATGCTATACTATCAGCAGATTCAAATGGTGGTTTCTTCTTTCGAATCCATAGCTGTTCTTAGTGCTGCCTCTCCCTATGTTTCCTTGGCTCTCAAGACCGTAGAAATGAACTTTCGGTGCCTACGGAAATCTATCTCGGACTGTGTCAAGCACTTATCGAGAGCCCTGGGGGAGGATTTCTTGTCCCCAACTACCGGTGCTAGCATTAGCAAAGGTGACATGAATATATCCGGGCTGAAGTACGGGCTTCAGAAATCTGGTGGGGTTAACCTGGGCTTCCATGAACCACAACAACAAGGCTTGAGGCCCCAAAGATGCCTACCGGAATGTGCGGTGGCAATCCTTAGAGCTTGGCTCTTCGAGCATTTTCTTCATCCGTAAGTCGATTGTTCTTTCTTTTCAATTTCGTATGTCCTCTCAAATATGTAATTTGGGGTGAATATGTATCTGCTTTTCTTATAGGTACCCCACAGACACGGATAAGCACATGCTGTCCACTCAAACTGGTCTTTCTCGAAACCAGGTGGGCTCACTGCTTCCCGTTTCTGGTCTTAATCATTTGGTATAATAATATTGGGTGATTGAATCGGAATGTAGCACGGTTAAGAGTTTGATTGATTGACTTGTTTTCATGGTGTCAACAATTTGATTTCTGAATGCAGGTTTCTAACTGGTTCATAAATGCACGAGTTCGTATTTGGAAACCGATGGTCGAAGAAATACACATGCTTGAGAGCAAAGGATTGGCAGAAAGCAATCAGAGCTCTAGCAAAACTGACGCAAAATCTACAAGTACCATTCGACCCAACGAAGACCTATCCATCAACAGCTCATGTATAAATGCAACTTCGGGCAAGCAATTGGCTTGCTCAGATATGGCTGCTGTTGGGATCACGGGAGATGCACATGATATTGAACGCTGGTATCACGAGAAACGTTCTAGTATGGATTTTCGAATCCCAACATGCATGGATGGTGCGATGATGAGTTTTGCACCGTGTGAGCAAAGTAGGCTCGAGATGGGGGGGCATGGAGCTGTGTCACTTACCTTGGGACTCAGGCATGGCGTAGAAAATGCACAAGTACTCCAACAGCATCCGCAGCAATATCAACCGCAAGAGGATCAGCTACGCCTGCAATTTGGCGGCGGCCAAATGATTCAGGACTTTGTCGGTTGAGCTTATGTCGGTCTTACTGAAGTTGAAAATTAGTAGAGCGGTGGCAGCTTAGCCTAGCTATTCCTTGCAATAAGTTTTCAAAATGTGGCAGAACTGCTAATACGCGGTTGCAGGCCAGCTTGAACGTATTTGTTTGTGATACTAACACAGTTAAATGAAAGAGGTGGTGACGTGATGCACTGATTGATTGACGCTAGACAGAATAGTGTTTATCCTGCAAGCGCTCCAACAGATGATTCACAAGAGAAAATTCGTCCAAAAAAAATCCAGAGAAAAAAGTCTCTAGGGTTTAATAAAATATTATCAAATCAAAAAATGCAAAAATCAGTCCACAAGCCGGACTGTTATAGCCAAAAATCGTCTTTATTCGAATTTTGCCAAAAATAGTAAAATCCCGAAAATCACTCTAAATTGAAATTCGAAATAAAATAAGCAATCTCCAAAAATTCCGGCCTAAATAGGATTTAAATTGACTTCCTAATTGACAATCGAAATATTATCATAAATAGTAAAAAATATCTAATTCTAGTGATTCGGAGGGGAAAACAACAGAATTTGAGGTTGAAAAAAGGCCACATGGAGCGTAACTCAATGTGGAGAGCGTGCGCGTCAAAAAGAGCTTTCCGGATTGGGGTCTTATGCACGATTCTGACACCTGTAGCAAAAGTTATGGCCAAAAAGACTGAAACATACTTAAAACGACTCCAATGATGAACATGTCACAATCAATTCCCGCCTTTGCGCTGATCTGCCAATTCATGGTATCTCAGCGTCATAAAGGTGCAATCTGACAGCTCAGCATCATCTGTCTCGGATCCCCCTGCATCAGTCACCCCGAGTTAAAAAGAACTCATCCTCGAGTTCATAGTAGTGTCATCAGAATCCACAAAACAATGACTCAGGTGCTTCACATTAAAGACATCAGAAGTCTTCAAGTGGCTGGGAAGGCGCAACCTGTAAGCATTATCATTGATCTTCTGCACGACCTCACAAGGTCCAATCTTCCGATCCTTAAGCTTATTATACTCACCAACAGGAAAACGATCACGAGTTAATACAACCCAAACAAAAATCACCAACATCAAAAAGTACCTGACGACGATGATTGTCGACCCGAGTCTTGTACTTGGTATTGCTCTCATGAATGGTTTGTTTCACCTGCTCATGGATACCCCGAAGATACTTTGCCATCTCATCTGCTTTAGGACTGAAACGACCTATACGTGGAATAGGGGCTAAGTCCAGCACCCCGGATGGGTTCTGACCATAGACAATCTCAAATGGGCTTAAACCTGTGGTTCTGTTTTTTGATCTGTTGTAGGCAAATTCTGCCTGAGGCAATGCCAAATCCCAATGCTTCGGCTTCGTTCCTGCCAAACACCTCAAGAGGTTTCCCAAACTTCGGTTCACCACCTCGGTCTGGCCATCCGTCTGGGGGTGGTAGGCGCTACTGAAATTTAACTGCGTTCCCAGTTTCCCCCACAGGCACTTCTAGGAATGACTTATGAACTTAGTATCACGATCTGAAGTGATGGATCGAGGAACACCATGTAAACGCACAATCTCCTTGAAATAGAGATGGGCAATCCGGTCAGCATCCATAGTCTTTCTGCAAGCTACAAAATGAGCCATCTTGGAAAACCTGTCAACCACAACAAAGATAGAATCCGAGGCCCTTTGGGTGCGGGGTAAGCCTAGTACAAAATCCATGCTGACATCGAACCAAGGAGCTTCAGGAACAGGTAAGGGAGTGTACAAGCCCGCATTGGTGAGAACTCCCTTAGACCGCTGGCACACATAACAACGGTTCACATAATGGGCCACATCACTAGTCAACTTGGGCTAATAAAAGTCAGAAGAGATAAGGGCCAAGGTCTTATCTCGGCCAAAGTGTCCCTCATTATGGAGTTCACTTATAAGTTGCTGCCTCAATGAACAATCTGGAATGCACAACTGTAATCCACGAAACAGATACCCATTATGCAAAACAAAATCATGACGGTGACCCTCAGTTACCTCCTGAAATATCATTCCAAAGGAAGGATCAGCTGCATAGATATCTGTGAACGTATCAAAGCCTGCAACTTTAGTACTCATGGTGGTGAGAAGTAAGGTACGACGGCTCAGGGCATCTGCGACGCTGTTCAAACTCCCTGCTTGGTGCCTCAGCGTAAAAGTGAATTATTGCAAGTATGCCACCCACTTGGCATGACGTCTACTCAGCTTGTGTTGTCCATTGATGTACTTCAAGGCCTCATGATCGGTAAACATAATAAACTCCTTCTGTACTAGGTAGTGACGCCAATGCTTTAGGGATTGAACTATGGCATAGAACTCCAGATCATAAGTGGAATAATTTTTCTTTGATCCCGATAGTTTTTCACTGAAAAAAGCAATCGGACGACCTGCCTGACTCAGAACACCACCAATGCCAACGCCAGATGCATCACAATTTACCTCGAACACTTTGTCAAAATCTGGAAGTGCCAAAACTGGAGCCTCGGTCATCTTCTGCTTGACCAGTTGAAAACTGGCCTCTGCCTCCTCAGACCACTGGAAATCACACCCCTTGAGGCACTCTGTGATAGGGGCGATCAGAGTACTGAAATTTCTAATGAATCGGTGGTAAAAAGACGCCAAGCCATGGAAACTTCGGATGTCATGTAAGGTCTTTAGTTTGGGCCACTCCAAGACTGCATCTATCTTTGACTGATCTCCATGAACACCATCAGTAGACACAACAAAACCAAGAAAAGTCACAGAGGTGATCGAAGTGTGAAGTGTGAAGTCCATGTCGGACTATAAACGAGGATATCATCGAAGTAAACTACAATAAATTTCCCCATAAAAGGCCGCAAGACTTGATGCATAAATCTCTTGAACGTACTGGGCGCATTGGATAGCCCGAAAGGCATGACCATCCACTCATACAACCCTTGTGGCGTTTTAAACGCCGTCTTCCACTCATCTCCATTTCTTATTCTGATTTGGTGGTAACCGCTCTTAAGGTCAATTTTTGAGAAGACCTTAGAACCAGATAGTTGATCCAACATATCATCTAGACGGGGAATTGGAAACCGGTACTTAACTGTAATTCTGTTGATCGCTCGACTGTCAACACACATACGCCAAGAACCATCTTTCTTTGGCACTAGCAGAGCAGGGACTGCACATGGGCTCATACTCTCTCGGATATAGCCCCTCTCCAACAACTCTTCCACCTGTCGCTACAACTCTTCAGCCTCCTTGGGACTGAGGTGATATGCTGGTCGATTTGGCAAACTTGACCCAGGAACAAGGTCAATTTGATGCTGAATATCCCTCATAGGTGGTAGCCCAGGAGGAAGATCCTCTGGCATCAAGTTAGAGAATTCTACTAGCAGCCGCTGCACTTCTACTGGTAAATCTGCATCCACGTCTACTGCATTGTTCTCGCAAGGTAGTAAGGCACAGACCACGTCGCCATGCTCAATCTCATCTAAAAACCTGGACATAGAAAGTAGAGTAGTATTATGGGTTACTGGGGTAGGAGTGAGTCCTTCCCGTCGGGGTGCCAACACAATCTTTTTTCCCTTGATGCTAAGGGAATATGTATTCTTCCGTCCATCATGAATGACACTGCGATCATACTGCCAGGGTCGACCCAATAATATATGACACGTATTCATAGACACAACATCACACCATGCATTATCAAAATATTTTCTACCAATTGAAAAAGACACGAGGCATCGCCTATCAAATGTCACCTCACTGCCTTTATTTAGCCATGACAGCTTGTATGGCTTAGGATGACGGTCCGTCTTCAACTGCAATTTCTGGACAACCTCCTCAGACACTACATTCTCACAACTGCAGCTGTCAATGATCATTTTGCAGACTTTATCTGCAACTGTGTAGGTCGTGTGGAAAATATTGGTTCTCAACCAATCGTCCCCTGAATCACCCTTGGGAGTAAGTAGACTCTTGCGAACGACCAGAGTCTCATGACCATCTCCATACAACACATCATCAGTCTCATCATCGTCATACACGGGTTCGCCAATCTCCTCAGTCTCGTCTTCCGTATTTTCCTCAATCAACAAATTTTTACCCTTTTGACTAGCAGGCTTCTTGCAATCAGTCGCCCTATGCCCTTGTTCACCACAACGAAAACATCTAATAGTAGGGTTAGAATTACCCTGCGGTGGTTGTTGAGCAGGACGAGAATCCTGAGGACGAACTGGTCGACTGTTGTGATCGTTCCTGATCACTGGTCTCCTGTTTTGTTGTTTTTCAACAGCAAGTGCACGCTGGTAAGCTTCCGAAACACTCCACAGTGAATGAAGGCTGAGGACATCTTGTAAGGGCTGGCGTAAACCCCCCAAATACCGCGCCACCATTTGCTCATCCGTCTCAGATAAATCGTTCCGGGCGACCAATTGGTAAATCTCCTCCATGTAATCATCGACTGATCGTGCGCCCTGCCTCAATGCATGAAGTCGTTGAAACAAGGTTTGCGTGTAGCCGAAAGGAAGGAAGTGACCCTTCATCTTCTTCTTCATCTTCTTCCAATCAATGATCTTGGCCTTGCCCTGTCTTTCTCGTGAACGTCGCAACTGTTCCCACTACGCATATGCTCTGCCCTTGAGTTTGATGGCGATCAATTTCACTTTCACACGATCGGGGACTTCCTTATATTCAAAAATACGCTCTACTTCATTAATCCAATCCACGAATCCCTCGGTCTGTAACGTACCATAAATCCACGACCTGAAAATCGAGGTCTCCATGACGCTCTTCCCGACCACTGAAAATCCCGAATCTCACATTGTGATATGGGTTTTCGAAAGCATAATTGGTATCGTGATCAGAGGCCTCACATCCTCGAAATCCCACGACCTCCAGCCATTGAAACTGGTGAAATTTCCCAGAAAGATGTTGAAGCTCTGATACCAAATGACGTCAGACAGAATAGTGATTATCCTGCAAGCGCTCCAACAGATGATTCACATGAGAAAATTCACCCAAAAAAATCCAGAGAAAAAATGGGTTAATAAAATATTATTAAATCAAACAATGGCAAAATCAGTCCACAAGCCAGACTGTTATAGCCAAAAATCGTCTTTATTCGAATTTTGCCAAAAATAG